AGGGAGTTTTATCAGGGAGTGTTGATTCACCGGTAGCGTTGGTGTGTTCAGCCGTAGATAGGACGAGATATGGACCCTTCACCTGTGCATGACCCCCCCATACTGGGCTAAGGCTGATAACCTGTGACCCTCCTGCTCCTACACTCCGCTCCTCACAGACGTCTGGGAAAAACTTTAGAAAGTACGAGATAATAGGTCTGAATGATTTTACAGAAATACTAATCCATCTTAAAAAAGAGTGAATATAATGAAAAAGTTCAATATTCTTTTAATTTCAGAAAGTCAAACCCATATATTATATAAACTCATGACACAATGAAATATGACTTGAATTTTTATGATAATGGTTAAAAGATAATGAAAACCCAAAATTCAGTGTCTCAGAAAATTAGAATTTTACATAAGATCAATTTAAGAAACAGATATTTAAAAAGAAATGTCAGGCTTCTGAAAAGTCTCTTCATTTCTATGCAACTTGGACTCGAGTCAGACTTGAGTCACTATTTTTAGGACTTGAGAATTGACTTGATAAAATGGACTAAGACTTGGGACTCGACTTGGACTTGGGACTTGACTGACTTGAGGCCTGTGACTTAAGAAGACTTGAGAAGCACTTTTAAATCTGAATTTGTTCTATTCTGACTGTAATGATTCACTGTAAGATCTTGTCAAGACATTTAAAAAGAAAAAATTGCATTTCTACAACTCTTAAATACTATATAATTATTCATATATAAATATACTACAACTATAAAAGTACAATAAAAGTATGACTTGGACATGACTTGGACTTATGGACCAGTGACTCGAAACTCTACTTGGACTTGCCTTTATTTGACTTGGGACTTGACTTGGACTTGAGGTCAAAGACTTGAGACTTACTTGAGACTTGCAAAATGGTCCGACCTCTGGTGATCTCCCTGCGGCGCTGCTCAGGTGAATTGGAAGCCCATGGTGCTTTGATATTTTCAGATCTTCTGCATTGCTGGGTCTAGTGTCTCTCAACTTCCTCTTGTCTTTTAGTTTATTTCTTTATTTATTTGCATTTTAATTTCATGAACCAAATTTTCAGTATGGGTGTGCAAAAATATTGAAATATCGATGTATCGTATTGCTTAATTTGATGACACAGTATTGATATCGTGGTCTGCTGTATCGATATTTATCACCAAGAGTATTTTTAGATATATTTTACTAAATTATTTTGTGTCAGAGCGACTATTGTGTTGACATTTTCACTGCTTTGTGTAAAATGGGTATTTTCAGGCTGGCGCCACCTAGTGCCTCCAATCAATTTTATTTCTCTCCAGCGACTAGTTCAGGAATCAGAATACATTAGACGGTTTACAAGAACCCTGGAAGTGCGAGTTCGGACACCGGACAATCAGCGAAGAGCCATACATTCTGTGTTGTCAACGATTCCCAAGATCGAGGATTTAAAGCCGGAATAAAGAGAATGTTTGGTGAATTTTATCAAGGGGAAAGACGTTATTGCCCTTTTTCCTACGGGATTTGAAAAAAGCTTAAAATACCAGATAGCCCAGCAGTGCATTACATACGTCACGACCAAATAGCAGCGATTGGTTAAATAAAAAAAGTACCCGTTTAATTTTAATGCTGCAAGACTGCGACAGTTTCCACAAAGTGAAACTAGCTGACAAATCAGGCTGTATTTTCATATTAATTTTGTACAAACTTAGAGGACTTAGTAAACTTTTACTATCACAGCCATGATTTAGGCTTTGTTTTTTTCACTAAAATGTATTGAATCGATTTGAAATATATCACAGAGGTGAGACCAAGTCGTTGTTTTGCAAGTCTCAGGTAAGTCTCAAGTCTTTCACCTCAAGCCCGAGTCAAGTCCCAAGTAATTACAGCCAAGTCCAAGTCGAGTCTCGCGTCACTGGTCCATAAGTCCAAGTCAAGTCCAAGGCGTCTGCTTTGAGCTTCAAGTCATTTCAAGTCTTTAAACCAAAGTACCAAATATAACTTTTTGCAATTTATGACTTTTAAGATAAATTGTACTTATACAGTCATAGTATAATTATACGTGAGTATTTATAGAGTATAAAAGAGTTGTAGAAATGCAATTTGTTTCTTTGTAAATGTCTTGGCAATATCTTAGTGTGAATCAGAATAGAACGAATTCATATTTAAAAGTGCTTCTCAAGTCTTCCCAAGTCATTGACCCTCAAGTCGAAGTTGAGTCCCAAGTCTTAGTCCATTTTATCAAGTCAAGTCTCAAGTCCTAAAAATAGCGACTCAAGTCTGACTTGAGTCTAAGTCACGACTTGCAAGTCCCCACCTCTGATATATCGTATCGAATCATACTGAATCAAAAGTGCACTATATCGAAAAAACATATCGTATCGTGGCCTATGTATCGAGGTGTGTATCGTATCGGCAAATTCTTAATGACACGCAGCCCTAATTTTCAGATTCAAAATGTTTGCCAAATTAAATCTTATATAATTTCCATTTCAGGCATGTTTTTGATGAGGAAACAATGTTATTAAGATGGTACAAAAGGTAAAAAAAAAAGGAATAGTTCTCTCCTAAATTTCAAATAAAAAGTCATATATTGCATCGAGATATAACAATTACGCTCTATTAATAGTTTCCAAATACGTTTTTATTTGTACTGTAATGTTTTTAACCACTGCTTCTGTTTTTGTCTAATCATTCCTCCTCCGATTTAGAGAAATCACAGCAGAAGCCAGTGTAGTAGAGTGTGATTAGGACTCCTTTGGCTTGAATTATTTATTTATTTTAGCATTTTAGTTTCATGAATCACAATTTTCAGATTCAAAAACGTTTGCCAAATTAGCTCTTGCGGTTCCATTTCCCTCGTAGCGCGGACTGGCTCTGTGACAGCTCGGCCTTGTTTCCACTCCAGTTTCGCCCGGAGACTGTAGCTCTTCTAATCCCTGTTCTAATGTGCGTTTGTGTGAGCGGAGACTGAGCAGAGCCGCCACAATCGCTCACTGTTTGTCCAAGGAAAAGATTCGGAGTCTGCCGAGAGCTCCGCGGCTCTTCACACACACATCTATTCCCATTTCCCTCCGGTGAGACGCTCCGGTCCCTGCCACGGGAAATTTGAATTTAAGATGGAGGAGGGAAACATCGCTCCATCTGCCGCCTCCGTCCTCAACAAGCTGCACACAGCTCTGTCACATTTAAGGCTGTCAAGAATGAAGGAATGAAAAAATAAATAACTGAAATTAATTAATAAATTAGTACAATCAATACATCGATAACATTTAATTTTAGGGTACACTTATTAACATCAGACTACCTGTTAATTATAGTTGCAGATGGTTAATTTGTCATTAATTAGTATTTATTCAGCCCTTATTAATGTTTAAATCCCCATAAGCTTATTCTGCATTTACAAACACTTTCCTATTAATACACTCCTTATTACTGCTTATTAGTTTGACATTCATGAATTATGATTCTAATAAGCTTTTTGTAATAAGTGTTTTATTTACGACTAATAGAACAAGAAGTGTAGTTTTTATTTATTTGCACTTAATAAATTTAGCTTACACTTATGTAATAAAACACTCTCTATTAGGTGTTAATAGAAGCCAACTAACCCTTAATAAACAGCTTAAAGAAATGTAGATAAAATGTAGATAAAAGTGTCCAGGTCAGATTGGTATAACAGTGTTAATACTGAGTTAAAATTTGGGATTGAAACTCAAATCTCTCCAAGAATATAGTGTGCAAATATGTAATGATTGTTGATTATTGTCACCAGAGCGTTTGTCACTGAAACAACAGTGAAAATATTTCATTCACTTTATTCACGTTGCCTAAAATATCACTTTTCCTGTAGTGTGTGACCAGCTTTATCAAATCAAACTTTCTGAATGAGAAAGTTTTGTGGCCTTGGCTGATAAATGATTTTTATAACTCTCCCAGTTACTATTTTTACAATTATATTGTAAGTAAGTAAGTAAGTAAGTCTTTATTTATATAGCACTTTTCACAGACACTTTTGTCACAAAGATGCTTTACAGAGCTTTATTCAGCATTATTCATTCACTCTATACCTGGTGATGGTAAACTACTATTGTATCAAAAGAAACAGAAAATGCACACCAAGATTCCTGCAGAGGTGCAAATGCAAGGAGCATTTCACCCTGGTCAAGCTACTATTGTAGCCACAGCTGCCCTGGGGCAGACTGACAGAAGCGCGGCTGCCATGCCAATCGGCGCCATCGGTCCCTCCGACCAACACCATCACTCACACACACCACTTTCATACTAGGCAATGTGGGTGAAGTGTCTTGCCTAAGAACACAACAACAGTTATTCCCACTGGCGCCCCCTGTGACTCCTGATTTTCCCAGTGTCTCCCATTTAAGTACTAACCAGGCCCGGCCCTGCTGAGCTTCTGAGATCTGACGGGATCAGGCTTTTTACAAGCCGGTATGGCCACAACTGTGGCTTGAAAAATTACAATTATGGATTCACCAAACTCTCCTGCCCATCGTCCCTGCAGCTCATGGTCTCATGTGTTTCAGGGACACAGAGTATAAGAGTTTGTGTCTCATGTGTTTCAGGGACACAGAGTATAAGAGTTTGTGTCTCGTGTGTTTCAGGGACACAGAGTATAAGAGTTTGTGTCTCGTGTGTTTCAGGGACACAGAGTATAAGAGTTTGTGTCTCGTGTGTTTCAGGGACACAGAGTATAAGAGTTTGTGTCTCGTGTGTTTCAGGGACACAGAGTATAAGAGTTTGTGTCTCGTGTGTTTCAGGGACACAGAGTATAAGAGTTTGTGTCTCGTGTGTTTCAGGGACACAGAGTATAAGAGTTTGTGTCTCGTGTGTTTCAGGGACACAGAGTATAAGAGTTTGTGTCTCGTGTGTTTCAGGGACACAGAGTATAAGAGTTTGTGTCTCGTGTGTTTCAGGGACACAGAGTATAAGAGTTTGTGTCTCGTGTGTTTCAGGGACACAGAGTATAAGAGTTTGTGTCTCGTGTGTTTCAGGGACACAGAGTATAAGGGCCTGCAGCTGTCTCTGGACCAGATCTCGTCCAAGTCTTCGTTCCCCTTCAGCAGCAGCAGCTCCACAGACCGGACCTCCAGAGGAAGAGTGTCCCGACCCAAAACTAAAGCCAGACTCTCCCCGTACACTCAGGTAAGACTCTGCAGGTGCTTTTGTTTGTCTGTCACATTTGATTATTTATTTTATACAGTCTCTGACCAGTTTTAGTTGACAGACAATTGCAGTGCATTGTTCAGTTCTGATCTGATCAGATTGGTAATTAATAATTTTTTGTTGTAATTGTGGGGCTGATATGAAGCAGCAGTGGTGCAGTAGGTTGAGCATTTTGCCTTGAACCAGAGGGTAACTCAAACCTTGCCTTAGTTCTGTCCACTGCTATTGAGAATATTGCATTTCCTGCTCTATTCACAAAATTCCGAGGTTAAAACGTCCAAATGATAAAATAAAACAGTCTGTATTGATATCTGAAACATATATTTAAAAGAATAGTTAGGGTATGATGTAATGCTCAAAGTTAGTTTGTATTAAATCCCAAATAGGTTCATAATGGGCCCATGAGCTCCGTCAGTGTACAGAGGCTACAGCGAGCCTGGAGGCGCTGTTTTGTTCAGTTTGTGGTGAACAGAGTAAATGTTTATCCAGATGATCGAATGGATTTAATGAGATTATCAGACGGTCGGGTCAGAGACGAGCAGCCAAGACACAAAACAGCCAAAAACAGCCCAAAAACAGCTCCAGTCCTCATTATGCTGTTTAAAATCAGAGGAGAATTTCCACTCACTGTTTAAGCTCAACTAAGCAGAAAAGCGTCCTTAAATGAGACATATTTTTCCTGGTACTTAGTTGGAGTACCTGACTTTGTAAATCAGTAAATTTTGAACAAATGAAACACAAATGAAAGTGGGTTGCCAGGGCCTGAGTCTAAACTTGTTTTTGTCACTTTATGTTTAGGCCGTCTCTCATGTAAAAGCTCAGAACCTCTAGAATTCCCTCCCTGAGCTGCAGAGGCTTCACTAGCACTGACTCATGATTGGCTGTAGGTGCCGGGGTTTAGGTAGTGACCATTCAGATCAGACAAACCACTGTTGGGCAAGTTACTTTAAAACTGTAATACTTTATTTATGACTTGTTACTGTCATTTCAAAGTAATTATTTATATTACAATTTTACTGTATTAAAAATGTAAGACATTACACGACTATTACAGCACTTTTAAGTTACTCTCACTCTAACTGTGAAGATGCTGAACCTTTGTGCCGTATATGGACTGAACCAGGACTGAACCAGAACTGAACCAGAGCTGAACTCAGACTGAACCAGGACTGAACCAGAATTAAACCACGTCTAAACCAGGACTGAACCAGGACTAAACTAGGTCTAAACCAGGACTAAACTAGGACTAAGCCGGAGCTGAACCAGAACTGAACCAGGTCGGAGCGGAGTTCTGTGTCGGTTCTTTAGCTCGCGGTCACCCAACGATCTACGCGGGCGCATCTCCAGTATTTCACCGCTGCTGATATCACTGTGATTTTAGCGAATTTGTATGAAGAAAAACCCACCACTTCAATCCAGGTTAAAAAAGCAACGCGTGTTACTGACATTTGTACCGAGTAAAATATTACTGTTATACTGAACATTATTACGTTACAGCAAAAAGCAATGCATTACAGTAATTTGTTACTTTTATAACGCGTTACTCCCAACACTGTTCAAAACACCAAATTATAACCACGAACAGCTTGGTGATCGTGTCCAATGTTTTTTTGTAATTAAGAATAAATCAGCAGAATAATTATCAGTAAAAGCAGTATCAAATTTCTTCTTCATATCTGGAGACACAGACACAGTCTCTATCAGTGGTATGGACTTTGAAGTTGTGACTTGGACTCGAGTCAGACTTGAGTCACTATTTTTAGGACCTGAGACTTGACTTGATAAAACAGACCAAAACTTGGGACCCGACTTGGACTTGAACATTAATTACAGTGACCTGGTACTTGACTCGGACTTGAGGCCTGTGACTTGAGAAGACTTTGTGCTTCTCCAAAAGAATATAAAATACTTTTTTCTTTACAGTTGATGCATACGGTGCTTAATTTTACAAGAACAAACTGGAGCATGTCCCTCTCACTTCTCTGTTTGTTACGTTGGATGCAACTGAAGTACTGTGATACTCAAATGTACTACAGTAATATACAGTACAGTAAAGTAAAATAGAGGAAACTACAAAGAACATGATCCTTCTATTTCAAGTGCAGAATACACAACAAAATAACTGATATTAAGCACTTTTAAATCTGAATATTTTCTGTTCTGACCATCATGATTCACACTAAGATCTTGTCAAGATATTTCTACTCTTATATAAATACTCATACATAAATATGCCGCGACTTTTTAAGTACAATTTAATTTAAAGTTCATATAAATTACAAAAATCTAAGATATATTTGGTACTTTTTAGTTTGAAATGACTTGAAGCCCAAAGCAGACGACTTGGACTTGACTTGGACTTATGGGCCAGTGACTTGAGACTCAAATTGGACTTGCCTGTATTTGACTTGGGACATGACTCAGACTTGAGGTCAAAGACTTAAGACTTGCAAAACAACGACTTGGTCCCACCTTTGGTCTCTACCCATCCATCCATCCATCCATCTGTCTATTTATAGAGAAAAAATCTTTAAATAAGTAAGTAAGTCTTTAGTTATATAGCTCTTTTCACAGACATATGTCACAAAGACGCTTTACAGAGCATTATTCAGCATTATTCATTCAAGAAATTTAATGTGATCTCTTGTCTCTGTCTCCCTCAGTTTGGGGGTTTCCAGGCGGAGCGCTCAGAGTCGGACAGAGACAGTCCGTGGGGGAGCAGTCCTCTCACAGACTCGGCCTCGCCTCAGCTTCTGGACCACGGTGAATCCATGGACTCCTCCTGCGTCTTCAGACAGTTCACCGACCCCAGGAGCCTGTGCTACGGGCTGACGGAGGAGCAGTACCACCCCCATCCAGAGGGGCACTCACACCACCTACACTCACATCCACAGGTGAGCGCTCGGACAAACACTAGAATGTTTATTTTGATGGAGTCATGCAGGTGTTTTGATAACTATAGTAAATGAGCACAACAGTAACATTTGCCTTTGCCTCTGCACAGGGTCACGCGTGCGACAGGGGGCGCTGTGAGGCGGGCCGGTACTTCCTGGGTCCTCCCCCCGCGGGCAGAGAGTCGTGGTGGGGCGTGGGCCGGTCTGTTCTGGGGAAAGACTCGGCGGAGGGATACGACAGCAGCCTGCCTCACCTCACCGCAGTGCACAGCTACCACGGTGAGAGTGAGGGTCAGCCTGGAGTGGAACTGGAGTGTTCTGCATGGATGTATATGCTGGAATGTTCAACAGTTTCCGTGGTGACACAATACACACATTAACACTGTCAAAAAGGTTTCAGCAATTCAAGAAAAAAGAAAAAATGCATTTAAACAACACATTTTCAGGAGGTTGTGATCAATATGAGCCTCATGGTCACGATCAGGTGTTTGACAAACAGGTGAGAGTGAAAAAAACTGCTGGCTCATGCTATATTATGTGTGAGAGACTTGTTTAACAGCACAAATCATCTCCTGTTGTAGTTCCAACTAAATCAGCTCGTTCTGGAAAGATAAAGCAAACCTGGGCATTGTTCAGCTCCCGGGCCACATACGCCCCTTCGTTTGACTCTGATCGGCCCATTTAAGCTCATTTGGAATTACAAAATAAACATATTTTATAATTTTACTTCATGCATGGACTAAAGCTGCATTGCTTTTATTTTAGAGGTGTTTTTAAATGACATTTTTTGTAAGGCAATCTCACTTTTTCATTGCATAGTCACAACATAAACTCTTACCAGTCTCATCAAATTATCAAAACAATGATATTTATCGCTTTTAATAAAGAAATACAATTGATATTATGCAGAATTAAGTTAAGCATTTCTGTTTCTCATGTGACCCCATGGAAAAAATAACTGCTAACCCCTGGATTAAAGTCTAACAAAGCCTCAGACAGAACAGTGCCTCCAGTTTGCATTACATCTCCAGGGGAACAAGTTGACGACATTGGCTGCAAAGTATCAATATGATCCTCTTTCCCAGAGCTTAAAACCTCTGGCATCATAATTTACCTTCCTCTTTTTACTCCAGTTATTTATTCTTTTTTTTTTTTTTTTTTTTTTAAATCAATATGTTTTGTGTGAAAGTGAAAGAATAATCTAAAACGTATGATTTCCACAAAGGTGAAACGATAAAAGGTGAATTGCCCAAACTAAACTAAAAAACAAAATCAAAGACATACTTAGGCTGTGTTCAGACTGCAGCCTGAAGTGACCCAAAGCTGATTTTTTGTCCCTATGCTCCTGTATCTGATCTTTTAATGACAGTCTGAACCACACAGATCAGATTTTTAAAAATGTGACCCAGGACACTTGGATATGATCCTAAAACCGATAAATATCCGATCTTTTGACATGTGATTTCAGTCTGAACGACCAAAGCGCATTCATCCGACCTACACGTCAGGCTCGGAGGGAAAGTGAGGCTAGAGAGTCATTTAATATTTGGGGGGATCATTGTATTCAGGCCAAATTGGAGGGGTATCATCGGAACTGGGCGGTTTTTGAAATGACTGTTAAAGAAATGTCTGAGCGCGGCTACATACGGTCCTGGCGCCAATGTCAGCGAAAAATAAAGAGCCTGCGAGTCAAATAAAAAGAGGGTAAAGACTCAAACAAACAAAGTGACGTATGACCTGTCCGTTTTACGAAGAACTGACTGTATTTTGCGAGACAAGCCCAGAGTTTAGACGAATTCCAGAAACACTGAGCATCGTGTCCTTCAATGCTCATGCGGGACACTTTTGGGACATTTAAAGTTCACACTGGAGATCACATACAAGTCGCATTTAATTGGAAATGTGAACGACCTTGCAAAAAAATCAAGTTTCACCAAAAAAATCCAAATTGAGCATTAAGCCCTGCAGTCTGAACGTAGACATAGAGCATTTGTGGAGCATTTGTGGAGAGAAAAGACGTCTGCTTTTCTTTCAACTAGATTTAACAAAAGTTAGATTTTTTTGACATGTTCTGCCATTTACGCTTTGACCAATAAGCTTGTATTCTTTGCCTCGATGTTCCGCCTTTCCTGATCTCTAATCTCTGCCCACAGGTCGCGGTCACTGGGACGAGGACAGCGTGGTGAGTTCTCCTGAAGGGGGCTCCACCAGCGACTCCAGCCCCCCGCAGCCGCCCAGCCGAATCCAGAGCCTCATCCGCGCGACGCAGCAGATGATAAAAGAAGAAGAGAGCAGGCTTCACGTGCGCAAACTCACTCAGGACGTCCCCCTCGGCCCCGCCAACGGCCTCCCCAAAGCCCCCTGCTACGCCCCCGACTACCCGCCCGCCCCGTTACCCCTACAGACGATGGTGTGCCGAGGGCTGAGCCACGTGGTCAGCCCCAACGCCAGCCCCGCTCCACTGTCCCGACTCAGCAGCCCCGTCTCCAAACCAAAAGACTACCATCAAAGTGACTTATCTCCGTCCATCTCTCTACCGCTGCATCATTCGTTTGCCAGATCGGGGCCGTGTTCGGGATCGCCCACCCCGGCACCCGCCCTGTACCCGTCGCACCCGCACGCCCACAAGCACCTGCCGTATTCTCTCAACGGGTACGCCCTGGACAGTATCTACGACGCGGACTCGCTCAGAAGTTCCACGCACTTGGAGATGGGCGCTCACGCACGGTTAGCGTCGGAGCAAAGCCAAGCACTTAAAGGGACTTCGGTAATTATCGCCAACGGCAGCTAACAGCTAACTGCAAACGGCGAACGACTTGTCAGAATATGTGAAACGGCTAGAAATCTGTTGGGTCATGAAAACTTTCCAAAAAAGAAACATCAACATGAGTTAAAATTAGTTGACATTTTTTAATTTATTTGAATTTAAGATTGTTTCATTTCATTTTTACTCTCAAAATAGTTTTTAAAATACGTTTTGAAGCTGGGGTACCCGATTGTTTCTGATAAATGAGAGCATCGAGTTTAGTGAAAGCAGCACCTGAATAAATCTGATCACGACTCATATTTGGATCTAAGACTATGTTCAGACTAGGGATGGGCATGATTAATCGATTAATCGATAATTGATCATTAAGAATTTCATCGATTACGTAAATTTTAATCGACAAACCGAATGTAGGTTGCTGTGCGTAGCGTTGAGTGACCAAACAGGTCTGTACATGTGTCTCTCTGCACTCAGTAGGAGCGAGCAAACACAAACAGTAGGTCAGCCTGTAGCGTGCCAAAGCACAAATGTGTATTTAACGATGACTTGTACAAGAAATTCCACGCTCTCTGTTGCGTTCGGGACAAGTGTGAGTCCATGTGCACAGTGTACAAAGCAGCACATATGTTTCGGTGTCCAGTGGGAAAAAGCTTTACCAGGTGAGAGTCGCTCAATGTGGATGACGAGTCCCCACGTCCCTCCCCCCCGTACGGTGTCCTGGTTTTGACAAACGCAAATCTGGTCACACTAACCTGTATTCCACTGAATCATGTCTTTTAATCCGACAGAAATTGAACCACATCAGCGACACAAGAGCTGTAGTTTTATCTTCGCTTAGTTTATGCAAATTAGCGATGCGGTTTTAAGTTTAGTTTCTGTGAGAGTTGCGCCTGAAATGACCCAAATCTGACTTTTTTCAACCCAATGTGACCTGTTTCTGATCTTTTAATGACAGTCTGAATGACACAGATCTGATTTTTTTCAAATGCGACACAGGACACTTGGATATGTGGTCCTAAAACTGATACATATCTGATCTTTTGACATGTGACTTCAGTCTGAACAGTCAGGTCACATTCATCCCACCTACACGTCAGGCTCAGAATCTCATCAATGGAGGGAAAGCGAGGTTAGCGAGTTTATTCATATTTGTGGGGGTTTACCTGGTTCAGTTCTGGGTTAATTCTGGTTAAATCTTGGTTTAGGCCTGATTTAGACCTGGTTTAGTTCTGGGTTAGACCTGGTTTAGTTCTGAGATAGAACTGCTTTAGTCCTAGGTTAGACCTGGATGATGCCTGCATGTAAACCTGGTTTTAATCCTGGTTTTACCTGGTTCGGTCCTGGATTGAATCTGGTTTGATCTCGGTTTAGGCCCGAGATGGTAGGCCCTGGTTTACTTCTGGGTTAGACCTGGTTTAGTTTTGGGTAAGACCTGGTTTACATGTCAGGCTTGGCGGGATCGCTGTATTTAGGCCAAATTGGAGTCGTCTTATCGGAACCAGGAGGTTGTTGAAATGATTGCCAAAGAAATGCCCGAGCACGGCGACACAGTTGGTCCTGGCTCCAATGTCAACGAAAACCAAACACAAGGAGATTAAAGCGGCCGTGGACCTGTAACCTGTCCATTTTACGAAGAACTGGACCATATTTTGGGAGACAACCCCAGAGTTTAGGCGACTTAAACACTGAACACGCTCGCTGAGTGTGACATCGTTGTGTCCTCCGATGCTCACGCGAGACACTTTTGGGGCGTTTAAAGTTCACACTGGAGATCACATACAAGTCACATTTAACCGGAAATGTGAACAACCTCGCAAAAAAAATAAGATTTCACAAAAAAATCTGAATTGAGCATTAAGCCCTGCAGTCTGAATGTAGCCTAAGTGTTGAACATTTAACTATTGCAAACTCATAATGACGAGCCTGATACAGAAGCAGACGTGTTGGGATGTTGGGTGGTCTGTCCCTGCTGAGCTCTGAGTCTGAAAACGTTGTTCTAAACCTGAGTACAAGCCCAAAAGTTCATGCATGTGAATACTAGAGACGTACCAAAGAGTTTGTGAAAGCTGCAGGAACCAGTTCGATAGATTTAAATGTTCGTCCACCAACCTGGAGCTCGGTGATTGTGTCTTTCGGCACGACACTTCGTCAAGTATGAAAGCTTCGTGTGCTTCAGTGGTTGGTCGTAGAGGCCAATGGCACAGACTTCTTGCCTCGCTTCAGTCTGTGGAGTGAGGAGCTTAGTGTTTGGAGAAGCTTTGTCAAGTCTGTAAAAGTACAAGTGTAAGAACAACATCATCATTACCTCCTCCTCTCGTGGTCTGAACATCGGGTACCCCCCTTTCAACGACAAAAATCTGAAGTCGAAAATGTTTTGTCAAATTATTCTCAAATTAAAATGAACTGAACTCAAGTAATTTCCAAGTTTTCAAGTAATTTAGTAACTGATTCATTATTAATTCATATTTATTTTTGGCACTCATTTCGTCATACTAACTCTTCTCGTTCAGTGGATCTAAACTCCAACCAAGAGCAATTTTACACTTCACAAGAATCGATTCACACAAACTAATATGCAAAACCATCTCATGTTCCTCCTAGAGTCTGGAATCCTCACGTTTAACTCTTAAATACATCGTACGTTTATCATGTTTTTTGTTTTTTCCCAAATTCAGTGATGGAATGGAAATGTATCAGTCATAACTTTACCACGCCAGATCTGGTTTGTCCAGTTTGAGACCTGGTTTAGACCCGGGTTAGGCCTGGTTTAATCCTGGGGTAGACCTGGATGAAACTTTGTTAATCCTGGGTTATTTAGTCCCTATTTAGACCTGGTTTGTTCTGCTTGGATAAGACCTTGTTTAGTCCTGGGGTAGACCTGGGTTAGACCTGGTTTAGTCCTGGGTTAAATCTGGTTAAATCTTGGTTTAAACTGGATTTAGAGCTGGTTTAGTTCTGGGTTAGACCTGGTTTAGTCCTGGGGTAGACTTAGGTTAGACTTAGCTTAGTTTTGGGTTAGTTTTGGTTAAATACTGGTTTAGACCTGGTTTAGTTCTGATATAGACCTGCTTTGGTCTTGGGTTAGACCTGGTTTTAATCCTGGTTTTACCTGGTTCAGTCCTGTGCTAAATCCAGTTAACACTCAGTTTAGGACTGATTTAGACCTGGTTTAGTTCTGGATCACACCTGGTTTAGTTCGGGGTTAGACCTGGTTTAGTTTTGAGATAGACCTGCTTTAGTCCTGGGTTAGATCTGGTTGACATCTATCTGTAAACCTGGTTTTAATCTTGGATTTACCTGGTTCAGTCCTGGGTTCATTCTGGTTAAATCTCAGTTTAGGCCTGATTTAGAACTGGTTTATTTCTGGGTTAGACCTGGTTTAGTTCTGAGATAGACCTGCATTAGTCCTGGGTTAGACTTGGTTTATGCCTACATGTAAACCTGGTTTTAATCCTGGTTTTAATCCTGGTTTTACCTTGTTCAGTCCTGGATTAAATCTGGATAAATCTAAATTTTGGCCTGATTTAGACCTGGTTTAGTTCTGGTTAAGACCTGGTTTATTTCTGGGTTAGACCTGTCTTAGTTCTGAGATAGACCTGGTTTAGTCCTGGGTTAAACCTCGTTCTTGGTTCGGCCCTGGGTTAAATCTGGTTAAATCTCAATTTAGGATTGATTTAGACTTGGTTTAGTTCTGGGTAAAACCTGGTTCAGACCTGGTTAAATCTCAGTTTAGGCCTGATTTAGACCTGGTTTAGTTCTGGATTAGACCTACTTTAGTCCTGGGTAAAACCTGGTTGACGCCTACATGTAACCCTGGTTTTAATCCTGGTTTTACTTGATTCAGTCCTGGATTAAATCTGGTTCAATCTCAGTTTAGGCCTGATTTTGATCTGGTTTAGTTCTGGGTTAGATTTGGTTGACTCTTACATGTGATAGACCTGGTTTTAATCCTGGTTTTAATCTTGGTTTTAATCCTGGCTGTTCCGGGTTCAGTCCTTAGTAAAATCTGATTAAATCTCGGTTTAGACCTGATCTTGACCTGGTTTAGTCCTGGGTCAGACCTGGACCTTCACAACACAACAAATTCATGTCTCTAAATATATTTTCTTTGTGATTCTTTGTAATTTTCACCTGTGACACTTGTGGCCGAACACAATCTCCCCTCGCTCTTCATTTCTCTCGTGTTATTATTGTGTGACGAGACTCAAACCTTCTCTTTTATTCCTTGTTTTGGGTTTTTAATGAATCATATTTATACACGAGTTTGGGTTGTTTTTCATTTATTTTAGCCTGAATTTTGCTCATTTCATATAATTATTTATGATCTCTTGTAAATATGATCTGAAGACGATTCTGACTGTTTTATCACAAAGACCTGTATTTATTATGGGCTAAATCAGACCCAGTCTAAAGCTTGTACATGTGTGTTTTGAACTTGAGAGCTGGAAAGAAATTAAATCATTTTGCAGAAAAATGTGGCGTGAGTCCTTTGTTTTAATATTTATCTCATGCATTTATTTCATTTATTTATTTCGAGCTGATTAATGAACACAAGAAGTACAAATGTATCTGGCACATTAATGTACAATTCACATATACAGAGAGATTTTTTTTCTTATCGGAGCTTGAAAAAGGAGTGGGAAGAGGAAAACTTAAATAATCCCACCGCTGTCTGGAACATACATTAAATGCTTTGTTTAAGATTCCTTTTATGTTGAACAAAAATATTGAAATTAAATCTATTTGAAGCAATAACTGCATCAAAAGTCACTGGCAATAAATGACATGTGCACTCACAGTTTTACTTTATATTTTTTTACTTGATCTTTTTTACTGAAGTTATTGTGGTGGAGATTGTTTTTGTTTTTAAACTTAAAGTAAACTGTTCTCTTTATGGCAATTTAAGACAGTTCATCAGCGTTAGGGTTAGGACATTAAGCCAATGATGTTCATTATGTCTTCTTATATACTTTAACTTCTTAGGTTCTTTTTAAAGACAATGCAGTAAAGTGTATTTACCTTGTTGACATGTACAGGAAGTAACAACAGGTGATATATGACACGTCACCACCAACACCGGTGACAGTTCTGAAGATGGCTTGCAGCTAGCAGCCGAAACATGTCAACAAGGTAAACACACTTTACTGCATTGTCTTTAAAAAGAACCTAAGAAGTTAAAGGGTTAGGACATGACGAGTGATAACTGGTCTAGGGGGCAGAACTCTAGGCCAGACTTTGCGCCTCAGTTTTGACACACTGAGGCTACGTCCGCACAATACTCTTGGATTTTTTAAATTTTTTTTGTGGGTTGAAAAAAATTCGCGTCAACACACGTATCGGATCAATAAATATTCATGTCCAGGCGACAACGGAGCACTGACTGAAAACGATGTAATACATATGCCACACCTGTATGTGGCGCTGTTAATGATAATAATATTTAATAATGTATATCCCTATCACTGTTTTTTTTTTTTAACTTTAAGGTAATTTAGCCAATTTTACATGTATCCCATAAATATAGCAGTTTGTTTTTGGTTTTTTTTCAAAAAGTTAAACATAAACTTTTGTTTTTAGCCATAAGATTTGGATGAGAATTATTTGAATAACTTAATCTAAAAATCCAACAGTTTAATTATCCGAAGTTTTTGTTATTGATCCGTGTGTGTAATCTGCGGTGTGTTGGGAGCTGCTCCTTGGGCTACATCTGTCACATTTCGGCAACGGTCTTTTGGTCCGCCGTGGCCAGTTCGAGGGGTGTAGCGTTTATTGTATTGAAGGACCCTGGCGATGACGAGGTTGCGACGTCATCGTTTTCCATAAACTGCGGTTTGTTTGTCCACAGACAACGTGTAGCATATCTAAAAGGTGTATGCAAGGGACAAAGGGGTGGAGTTGGTGTAGGCACAGGGCTAGAAAACAGAAGGCTAGGCTGCGGCTCTCTGGGAGGTAGGGAAACAGTAAAAAGCACAACAAACTGCAGAGCTATGGTTGGTGTTTTATATTGAAAAGTGAAAAAGATATATATACAATATTTACAATATTTACAATGATCTGCAGATTTCCTCAAGTTTGGTTAATACATGTGAAACAATATGAAACAGTAGTGGTGAATAAGTCACTTTGTTAGTGTCCGTATCATTGTCCAAAAACCAAAAGGTGAAATTTAATGTCCACAATTCG